CGCACATGGTGGGCCTCGCCGCCGCCATCGCCAACGCCTTCCGCAGGATCCTGCTGGCCGAGGTACCGGCGGGGGAACGGTTGGGGAAGGCCTGGGGGTGCCGGCCTGGGAGCGGGGCGGGATTTGAGTGATGGGGAGCGGGGAGGGCCCTGCCTCGCGTCGGCCCTTGCAGGCGGCTTCTGGGTTTGGAAGAGAAGCGCAAATTCATTCTGCATGCGTGCTGGGAACCCAGAGAGAGTTGGGGCCTTAACAGCGCAAGTGATAGCGCTTCTTGCTTAAGGGTGCTGTCTGTAATGTCTGTGGATCAGCCTGCCCATCACCTCTTGTGATCATTTGTTTAAAAAACAAACGGGGAAGGGGGTATATTGGATGTAAGGGTATATTGGGTAGCCTGGTTTGGCAGAAATGCTGCTGAAAAGAGTCTGCAGGGCAATTGGGAGAGAAGGGACACCAGCTGGATATTTTGTTGGCGTATAGTTCAATTGTCATCTTACGCTGACTTTATCTCTTGTCTTCCTGAGGTGCCAACGATGGCTGTAGAGAAAGTCTTTGTGTACAACAACACATCCATTGTGCAGGATGAAATTCTGGCTCATCGCTTGGGCCTCATCCCTATCCGAGCTGACCCTCGACTCTTTGAATATAGAAACCAAGGTGAGAGGTGTGGATTAACTAGAAATGTTGAAGGTTTCCCCCAAAGCAGGAAATCAGGGGCACATAAACTGAGCAGAAGTGTGATTCCATAGAGGCTCACACTGTTCTCCCCTTCCCAGGAGATGAAGAAGGCACAGAAATTGATACTCTGCAGTTCCAACTGAAAATAAAATGCAGCCGAAACCCTCAGGCAGCCAAGGAATCATCTGATCCTAATGAACTATATTTCAATCACAAAGGTGAGATCTCTCCTAAAAATAGGTGATGGTTTTTTTCTTTTTTGGTCTTGGGAGACAGGATTTGGTCTGTTCTCTCAGCCCTGTGAGCAGAGAGAGCCAATTCGCTCATTCTGCTAAACTTACTTTTTGCCATCTCCAGTCCCATACGGGTCAGCAACCTGTTTTGAGACAGCAGCTGGCTGATGCTTGTGGCTTCTCTTCACAGTGTACAGTAAACATATGACGTGGGTGCCCTTGGGGAATCAGACAGACCTCTTTCCAGATGCTGACTTCCGACCCGTTCACGATGACATCCTCATTGCACTGTTGCGACCTGGGCAGGAAATAGATGTGCTTATGCACTGTGTCAAGGGTATAGGTGAGTTGTGGGTCCTGGGGCAGCAGGAGGGGGAGGAGTGTGAGTGGACTAGGGCACAGCTGTGTGAAGGGGAGGGGTGGAGAACTGGCTTTCCCCCTGGAACTTTAGGCCCCATCATTTCCTGAGGCCTGCCCTCATCTTTGACTCTTGACTCTTTGTGCAGGTAAAGATCATGCCAAGTTTTCTCCTGTGGCCACGGCTAGTTACCGACTGCTTCCTGACATTACTCTCCTGCAGCCTATAGAGGATGAGGCAGCTGAAATGTTGCAGAAGTGCTTTTCCCCTGGAGTCATTGAGATCCAGAACATCAAGGGTACTTTTTTCCTGCTCTAAAGTGCCTTTTTCCTTACAAGCCTTAGCAGAGACTGATTAGAGACTAGAGCTAAACCTGTGTTGTGATGTTGTCTTGCCGATCAGCAACCGTTCATGCTGTTCTGAGCTTGGCTTTATGGATGAGTGGCTGTCATGTGCAGATACGTTGGGTGATGAACTGGGATCCCCCTGAAATGCTAAGGCATGGGGTGTCTGTCTGCAGAGCTGCCAGCTGTGCAGATACGTTGGGTGATGAACTGGGATCCCCGTGAAATGCTAAGGCGTGGGGTGTCTGTCTGCAGAGCTGCCAGCTGCAGCTTCCAGTACGGTTGAGTTGTCTATAAGACTGGGTAGCGAGCTTGCTACCCAGCAGCTGAGCATGGGGAATACTTCTTGTGCCCTGCCCTGCAAGCTTTGTTTTTGGCTTGGAACTGTTCAAGGACAGTTCTGTCAGGTTGGGGTTTCATGTTGGGGATATGCTAATTCTTTGTATTTGTGGCTTTGCTGCCTTTGCTGATGGGGGAGTGTATGTCTGAGGGGTAAGCACCTGCCATGACCACAAAGCACCCATCTGCTACAGGCGCCTGTCTTGTTTCCTCTTTTTTCCTTTAGGAAAAAAGGTAGCAAGAGTAGCCAATGCACGGTTGGACACATTCAGCAGAGAAGTTTTCCGCCATGAGGGACTGAAAAACCTTGTGCGCCTGGCAAGAGTGCGAAACCATTACATCTGTAAGTGCCCCGTTTTCTACGGAATGTAGAGCCCTGCTGTGGTTTGTGCAAACAAGCAGAGACTGGCCAGTGTGTATAACTGGGTGTGTGCCTTCCCCTTCCCCCCCACATCATGAGCCTTCATACACAGGCCAGTGGGTAACTACTGAGGTTGTGGTTTGGTGTTGCTTTGGGACTGAATGTGTTTGTGCTTCCTGCTGGCAAATGTAACCTCTTCGGGTGCGAAGGTCTGGTTTATCAGAAGTGCGGTGCGAGGCAAGACGAGGGACAGGGATGCTGGAGCCAGGCGTAGGCTGAAGCTGCGTGGTGGCTGTTATTGACTTGTGTCTCTGTGCAGTTTCAGTGGAGTCGACGGGTATCTTGCCTCCAGATGTGCTGGTGAGCGAAGCCATCAAGATTCTGATGGGAAAGTGTCAGCGCTTCCTGAATGAGCTGGACTCTGTGCCTATGGAGTGACCAGGTGGTAGCTGGGAAGCGTATCCCTGCGCTGCTCCTCTGGGCTTCCTGCACCTGCCTGCAGGAGTGATTCCTCTTCTGTAGGCAAGAGGTTTGAGATGGGCTTGGTAAGAGTCCTAGGACCATCTCTCTGAATGTTTTCTGTTGGTAATGGGCCTCAGTGAGGCGATGCACTAAAATAAAGGCTTTTCTTTACAGCTGTCTCCTTCTGTGCTGTTCACAATTGTGAGACTGTAACACATGGAGAAGAAAGTGGCAGCAGGTCTAATGATGAGCAATAGCATTTATTTTAGATTGCGTACAGTATGTGAAAAGGACTGATACGGCAGTGTAGTAAAGCACTTCACAGCAGGTCAGTGAGATTTAACAAGTGTCTCAAACCAGCTCCAGGGTAGATAATGTGGTAGATAAAAGGCTGGAGCACCTCTCCTGTAAGGAAAGGCTGAGAGAGTTGGGGTTGTTCAGCCTGGAGGAGAAGGCTCCAGGGAAACTTTATTGGTGCCTTTCAATATATAAAGAGGGCATGGAGAAAGACTTTTTACCAGGGTCTGTTGTGGCACAACAAGGGCCAACGGTTTTAAACTAAAACAAGGTAGACTTAGATTGACCATAAGCTATTTTTTTATGATGAAGGTGGTGGTGAGATGCTGGAACAGGCTGCCTAGCGAGGTTGTGGGCACATCATCCCTGGAACTGTTGGTCATGTTGTACAGGGCTTCGAGCAACCTGACCTAGTGAAAGATGTCCCTGCCTGCAGCTGGGAGGGGAGGTTGGACTAGATGGGTTTTAAAGGGCCCTTGCAGCCCAAACCATTCTATGATATAGTACTGGGCTTCTCTGTGCAAAGGTGGGGTTTAAAAACATGGTCTGTAAGGACTGACTGTCCCTTCTTAAATAGCTCAAGGCAAGGCATTTCTCCCCAGGTGTTAGATTTGACTACTCTGTTCTCCCTTTTCAGTGACTGAACATACTTCAGGCTGACCTTGAAGCAGAACTGGATGGTGGAGGGCAAGCGCCAAAGGCCTGTGTCCACCCAGGGAAGCCTGGGAGAACTTGCAAGTTAGTGTCAGTGGTGAGCACTGCTGTTAGCCAGCACCGGGTTGGTCTTGGCTTATGGAAGTCTCTCTTGACAAGCTGATGAAGGAACTGGAACTTCAGAGAATGGCTGGGGGTACTGCTGTGTCCCAGTTGCTTAAGTCAATCCTCACTACAGTGCTGGAATTTAGAGCAAAACATGCTTTTTCTCTACCTGTTGCACTGGGCTATAGTTACTTAGACTGTGAACATCCTTTAGGTGTTAATCCCATTTGAAAAGTAGTGATTTCTAGCTGGATCCTTTCAGTTTAAACAAGCTGAAGCAGCTTCTGTGCTGAGCTGGATTACAGCTGGGCCTTGGGAAAAGGTTTTGTAACAAAAACTTTTGTTGATGTTGCTCAGGCCCACCTCTTTGAGGGCTTCTATTTTTATTGTGAGAGAGACCTTTCATGCAACCTCCGTCAGGTGAGGGGAGAGGAAAGGCAATCGCTACATCACCTTCCCATGTTACTGAAGAGGTGAGCTGAGAGAGTTATGGCTAACCTCCCGTACAATCCCGAGACATTGTGCCTCCCAGCAGTAGCCAGGGGTGGGCTCAGAGGCTACTTTAGTAGCACATGCACCTTCCTGTGCTATTGCTTCATATATTTCCCAAACTGCTCATGGGACGTGCCCTGGAGTAGCCACGCCAAAGGGTTTTGCTTCAAGCTGTAAACTGGGACCTAGTGGCTGTTGTGGAATTAATATAAACCAGCTGCGAGTGACATATAAATACCTCAAAGTGCAATTTTCCCCATGCCTTCTAATTTAATGACGTAGTCTGGAATGGTTCATCCCCTCCCTCATAAATGTATGTTGACTACCAGAAAAGGTGCTCCCTTTTTGGTAGCTGGAATAAAGAGCGCTGAACAATCCTTAGGAAGGCAGTCTGGGCAGAGCAGAGGCCACAGATCTTTCTTACTGAAATAGGTAAAAGAATAAGAATGAAGCCACGACACCATATGTATGAAACTGGAATAGCTTTACTGACATTCAGAGGTGTAACACAACCAGTTCAGAGACAGCTTCGGATTTAAACATTCCTACAAAAAAGGTTCTAAAAACCATTTAAAAAAAACCCCTTGTGTCTAGCATGAAGTCACAGAATGTTAAAAATATCACAACACAATAAATACACCCAGCCTTTGCTAGAGCCAGGAGCCACATTAGCTCAGAGGTTAAAAAAGTTTGAGGCCAGGAGGAAAGTGGAGGGTGCTGGTGGAACAGCAGGGGCAGGAGGGCAACTGGATTCCCACAGCACGAGCTTCCTTTCTGCACTCCCACCCTTCTCACACCCAGCTTTTCTGTCCAATCTGTCCAAGTGGAGACACCACCTTCACCACCCACCAGTTTATTCCTTGTTCTGTCTCCTGGATGGCAAAACTGCCAGCTAGCTCCAGACAGACCCTCCCAGCTCCTGTGCTAACACTAGGATAGATCAAGTGAACCATCTGTCATGTCAGAACCACCAGCTTGGCAGACTGGAGTGGTTCGATAGAGTCCCACCTCATCTAAAAACCAGTTTCTGACCTGGCTCCCCCCCTGTAAACTGCAGTATAAACCCCACCCCTCCTGCCCCACCACACAATTCTCCAAGAAGTACCAGACTGGGTAAAAACATGGGCTACTGTCCCCTCCACAGCAACAGGGTGAGGAGATCCCTTTTGGTTTGCAGGTGCTTCAGATATTGGTCCAGATTTTGCGTACCCTGCACTGGCCACGTTCTAGTCTACAGGGCATGGTAAAAAGAAAGTAATAATAATAAAAAACTCTGTCTTGTTCCCCCAAGAGATGTCAAAGAAAGGCAGGCGCAAAGTAAAAGCCTTCCCTTTGGCTCTGGGTAGAACAAGCTGTATGATCACATATATACACATCTATATGTATATATATGTATGACAGCATCTGCCTCCTTCTAGAGAGCAGCTGCACCTTAGAAAGGCTGACCTCGAGGGAGACCCTAGAGCACTGCTAGGCTTCCTGGCACCTAGCCCTCAGCCCAAGGCTCAGCACCCTGGAGGGAAACGGATTCATCAGAACACCAGTCCGCTGGGGACAAGTGCTGATAGGCATGACAGGAGTGTCTGATGTGTTCCCTACGAAGGCCAGCTACTAGCACCCAGAGGAAGATTGGGGTAGCCCCTTTTCACATGGCGCACTACTCTGCCTTTTGCATTAACCCTAAACCCCAAGGGATGAAGAAGTGGAGCAAGAGTGACCCAAGGCTACAGGATGACCAGGCTTTGCCTAACGGAGTCTATGGGCTCAGCTCCTACCTTGCAGAGCAGCAGAGGTCTGAAGATGCTCATCCAATGGAGGGGAGGGGAAGGAATCAGGGAAAGCTTAATAGACTGGTTCAAATGCCACCGCAGGCCCCATCCCGCTATAGAAAGGAGAATGGGACAGGACCCATAAGGGGCTTTATTCAGATGAACGCTTGTGGAGGCAATGACAAGGAGAATCTAATGTGCTTACTATGAGAGACAAATATAAGGTAGGGGAGGAGAGAGTTGCAGCATCCCAGGCTCAGGGCTCAAAGAGTGCAGTGAGGCCCTCTCCATCCTCATTTTCTAGCACATCCGTCTCCAATGATGGCTTCACCTTTTTGAAGAGAGATGGGAGGTTCCGGATATGAACCTCCTTGCGGAACTGCTCCCCGAGGGGCTTCTGCAGAGGATAGACAGGCAGGCGCCAGCCATTACTGCCCTCATAGCCCCACTCAACTCGAGGGCAGCCCACTTGCAGATCAGAGGCAGACCCCAGATTCTGAGCAATCCCTAGGCCCCAACCCCATGCTTGTTTTTTGGGGAATCTCAGGCCTGGTCCTCCCCAAGTGCCAGGGCACTGAGGTAACCACCAGTGTGTCAGCTCCCCGGCTTTTAATTCAATGCCAGACTCCAATGCCATCGTCCTCACAAAAGCCCAGCACCCACCTAGCAGCTTCGTTCTAACATTTTAATGCCCTGTTCACCCGGGCACCCTTGTGCAAGGTACCCCCCACCTCTCAGTGGGAAGTCACTGCTGGAGGGGCTGCTCAGTCTGTGCTGCCATCCCCACCCTACCTCCAGGTTGAAGAGAGACAGAACAAACACCGAGAACAACGCTGCAACAGCTTCCTGGCTGGGAAGGGGGGTGCTTGGGGAGAGGCAGGTAGGCTGGCTGCCCTGTCACTTCTGCAGGGTATGGGCATGAAATGAAACAGGTTCATTTTCCTCCAGGATATCACTTACCCCAATGCAACCTGTGATGAGGCGCTTGAAATGATCCTTCCGGCGCTTGTCTGCCACCTTCTGCAGTGTTGGGTTGAGAAGCTTTGAATCAAACTGCTCCAAAGAGTCCCTCTGGATGTCTGGGATCTGCTCCATCACTGCCTTCAGCTCAGCGTAGCGAGGGCGCTGCAGGGAGGAGTACAGTTAACACAGCTCAGCTAGAAGAGCCAGCCCTGCCCTTCTTGGAGGGCCATTAGCACCTCTGCCCCTACCCAAGCGGGCATGGGATGAGTTTTCCGCCATTCCCCAGCCAAGCTGGCATCTGGATAATCATAGAATCATAGAATAGAGTAATAGAATCACTTTGGTTGGAAAAGACCTTTAATATCATTGAGTCCAACCTTTAACCTAACCCTGCCATCCCACCACTAAACCCTGTCCCTCAGCACCTCATCTATCCTTCTTTTAAATACCTCCAGGGATGGGAACTTGATCCCCTCCCTGGGCAGCCCATTCCAGAGCCTGACAACCCTTTCGGTGAAGAAGTTTTTCCTAATGTCCAACCTAAACCTGCCCTGGCGTAGCTTCAAACCATTCCCCCTCGTCCTATCATCTGTTCCCAGGGAGAAGAGGCCGACCCCCACCTCCCTACAGCCTCCTGTCAGGCAGTTGTAGAGGGCGATCAGGTCTCCCCTCAGCCTGCTCTTCACAGAATAAAGAGCAGAGTTTCTCACCAAGGCCTCGTAGATCTGGAAAGCCAGGTGGACAAGCGCTGCCATGCAGCCATCGTGCTGCCCGTGTGTCTGTAAGCCCTTCAGCACACTTGTGAAAAACCAGGACACAGCATCGGGGAGGAGGTTTCCTGGAAGAACCTGCGGAAGAGGCACTGTCAGCAGGGAAGCAGGACACTGATAACATGGCTGCCTTTCCGCAGCAGCTTTGTCCTCCCAAGGGAGAAGGTGCCCAGGGGTGAAGCAGCCATGCTCCTCTACATTTAGAGGTTCCTCTCCCAACCCTGCCAGAACTAATCCCTTCTTCATCCCAGAGGTACCTGTTTGAGCAGCGGCCAGCAAAGCTGTGTTGTGGTTCTTTGGCAGGACAAGGTGTCCTTCCAGGAGAGGGATGTGTAGGCAGTGATCAGCAGCGCAGTGCAAACATCCTGAAAAGGAGTCAAGAGAGGGAAACCAGTCAGAGGAATGATTTCCCACCTCCAGGGTTCAAACCTGAAGGCAGCCAAGAAGCAATCTAGGGACTCTGCAGGAGCTCCTTGGGGCTATCTTCTGAGAATCCCACGTGTTGATGCTGCTCCAGCTGAAGGTGCTCAAAGGCACCCAGTGTGCACCATCACAGCCATGAGGAACCAATGTCAAGCAAACCTGCTCCCTTCATCTCCCCTGGCAAGACCCTGGAGCGCTCATGGACTCCCATCAACTGCTACTCTCAAGTCACTGCAAAAGCTTCTGAGGTGTCCACAGGAGAGGAGGAATACAGCGGTATTGGGATGAAGATGCTCTGCACAGTGGGTTGTGTTAACACTTTGGCTCCTGTGCCAGCTCTGGCAGAATTTACAGAAAAAGAGCTGCTGGGTGAAGTTCTTCCTCATGAAGGCTGGAGTCCAGGATGGAGGCAGAGCCAGAGAGCAGCCTGGGGGCTGAACGCCCAGGGTCTCGCCCGCAGAAGGGCTGAAACTCTGCAGCTGCATGTTATACTGGATCTCAACCCCCATTTGCTTTGTGGCTTCTGCAACCATTAACAAGGCCCTTAAACACGTATATTCCCGAGAGAAGATTCTCACACTGGGGAATGCTCCAGCAGCCTAGATCTCTGGCTGCACCACAGACAAGCATGACAGAGTACAGAGGAAGGATGGTGGAAGTCAGAGCATGCGCTCTTACCTCCTGCTTCATCAGACACTTGCCGAGCTCGGTGAGCTCTGCGCTCGTAGGGGGAGTCACCTCCGTGGCCATCGCCTCATCATCTGCAGAGCAGAGAAAAGGCAGCGCTGTGAACAGGGCCTCCCGAGGATTGACGAAGACACAGGGAGGCACAGTGACAACTAAGCTGGGAAGCGGGGGACAGCACACAGAACCGGTCTACTGGCACAGCTTGCCAGAACACCTCTCCCTTGTGGGGCAGGAAGGGCACCCAACTAGCTACCTCCAGCTCTTGTGAAGACTGTGCAACATCCCCCTCTTCTCCTCAGCCCTCTTCTTGGTACCTGAAGAATCAGCTGCTCCAACGTGCTACCTGTGAACCCTACAGCACATTTGTTCCTAGGCTAGACCAGGTTTTTCTGTGCCCTCCAGACACACTGGGCAGGACAGAGCTAAAGGCTCCTTACCAAACCTATGGCCTCACACAGAACTTCCAGCAACAGGCCAGCCTCTCCCTCAAGAAACGCATGAAGAAAAGGGAAAAGTGCTTGCACACACCAAGGGAAGAAAAGGCAAACATGGGTGTTAACTCACCATCTCCGTCTACAGCAGCAGTAGTGTTATGCTCAACGCCTTTCTTAGAAACACAGCAAACAGCTGCAAAAACAGTTGCAGGTCAGAGGAGCAGAAAAGGGAAGATGCTACTTCAGAACATGCAGAGATTATCCTACAGACTCTGATGGGCTCAGAGCTGCTTCAGGCTCTCCCAGCTCTTACACAGTATCTGAAGAATCTGAAAGCCCAGTATAAAAGCCAAATACGGCACTACCTGGAAGGCTGAAACACCCCACCCACAGCACCCTCCCACAGTGGAACCTGCTGCACAGTGGCCACTTCAAACTACTGAGAACCAGGAACGTGCAAAACCATTTGAAGCCTATGACCTGAGGAAGAGCAGTCTCTTAGGGCAACGAGGCAGATCAAGAAAGCAGATTTAAGGTTGAGGACCTGTAATCTCTATGCAGAGTCAATTTTCCCAGCCTCTCTGCTCAGAGCCACATTGGCAAAAACAGAATATTGGAGAAAGGGATCACAAAGGAGATTGCCTGGGGGGAGGGACTCTTCCCTTCTGTCTGTCTGGAGACATGGCAATTGCCAGCAACAAAACTGCTCTACGCTCAGGTTGTTCACAAATCAATGTCCCGCACTGGGTTCCAGGGCACAGAAAGGGAGAACCCAGATTCCAAAGGAGGACTGGACTCCTACAGGGACAGTGCCAAAATCATGAAGCCCTAAAAGAAAGAAAGAATAAAAAAACTGTCTTCTGAAGGTTTTTAATTGACCTCTTATGGTCTCACACTTAGCTTCTAAGGATTATATTAAATACTACTGGCCATTATAATTAAGTTTTATTGCTATTGGAAATTGCTATTGTCTTCTCCAGGGCAAACTTCCCAAATATCCTGGGGGAACCTAGCTTGATTTCACTTACTGATGAGATCCATGACTTCTCGGGTCAGCAGCCTGACCAGCTGTTCCTCAAGCATCTCCTGAGACTCAGGGTTGTCATCTGCAGCATCATCCTCACTGAGGAGAACAGGTTTTAGCGTGAAAGGAGTCAATGTCTTCCCACCAGTATTCCCACTGCCCAAGCGCAGGGAGTCACCATCAGGGTAACCACAAGGTTTTCCAGCCCTCTGCTGGCAGGGCCGTTCCTTGGGCAAAGGGCCAAAGCTCCATCCCACTTCCCACTTCCCCCTTTCAGTACTCCTGTCAATGGATGAAAGCTTACCAGAGCATGCTTCGCTGGTTGATCACCTGCCATTTCTGAGACAACCTCTGTTAAAGACAAAAGGGAAGATTCAGTACCTTCCTGAGGAGCCATGCTGGACACAACGCAGAGAGGCCCAAGCAATAGCTGCTGACAGAAGCACAAGAGCTTTAAACACAGCTCTCACGCCAAGTCCCATTTTGAACGGGACAAGAACTGCTACCAACTGTGCTGAAGAGGCTGTGGCTTTGCTGGCTGTAGGAATTTGAGTGAGCTGTCGGGAGAATGAGGGGACATAGGCAAAAAAACACCCACAAAAATTCTCAGGGCTGAAGGTTGAGGAACTGACGTCCACAGGTTTGATTTCACAGTAAGGGGTGCTTTGCAACAGCCAGGGTTCAACGCACCTCAAAAGCTCCCCTAAAACAGCATCAAAATCATTAAGCATCAAGGCTCTGCCCTTGTCTCTGCTGCCTTTGGAGTGACAGATGTTCTCACACGTTGCTGCCAGCTGCTACAAGGAATCTGGGCTGCCAAGGAACAGGCATCAAGCAAGCTGTTTTCTTACCATGTGCAGATAGGTAAAGAGTGGTCCCAGCATGGGGCAGACAAGGGTTTCGTAGTATTCTGAAGGGCAGGAGAGTACCAAGGGCTTCACAAACACACCTGCACGGACCAGTTAAGGAAGAGACACAGAGCATATGGCCAGCTGCTAGGGAGACTGCAGCGTACTGCCCAAACCAGCCCACCCCATTGGGAGGCCGAGTGACAGACACCTCGAAGCCCATCTTCTCACAGCCCTGAATGAACGAGTTGGCATCTCTACAGGGCATGAGCATGAGGTATTCGGCCTCTTTCCG